GAAGTATATTACAAAAATAATTTAATTTATTATATAACAACTTATACGGCGTCTTAGCACCAAGGGGGTCTTAGCACCAAAGGGGGTCTTAGCACCAAAGGGGGTCTTAGCACCAAAGGGGGTCTTAGCACCAAAGGGGGTCTTAGCATCTATATAGATGCAAAAAGATATCGCTTTCAAAGACTAATTTAGGCTAGCGTTAAGGGGGTCTTTACCCCAAGAACTTGCCTGAAAGTTCAAAGCTAACAAAACAGAAAAAAAAAATAGTTATATTTGTTCGTTTACCACTACATTAGAAGCTTCGTTCAACCGTTCTATCTTTTGTCTAGATATATATACCCATCTAGGATCGCGTCAAACCGGATGGGACAGAGCTGTGTGACCTTACCCTTATGTTTAATGGAGAAAGCGATTTTACAAGCCATGCTCGGTTAGAGAAGAGAGAAGAGGAAAGGGAGATGACAGCACAGATGCCTCAGCACACCTGTTACCACGTGCTGTCAACCCCTACACATGTGGCACACCTGCTACCACGTGCTGTCAACCCCCTACACACGTGTAACACACCTGCTACCACGTGTTGTTGTTGCCTTAGCCAGCACCAAACCGACCACGTTGCAAGAGCCAGTCCTTAACAAGGCCCAAAGTGCAGGAACGAAAGAGTGTCTTCCATTCCAATTTGGATAGCCATTTCCAGGCACGATGTAAGGGAACAGTGTGCGCGCGCAGTGGCGAATGATGCGGTGTAATAGGGACTAAATGGGGGGAATGGAATGGGGGGAAAGGGAATGGGGGGAAGGGGGGGAGGATGGGGGGAATGGGGGGAAGGGAGGGAGGGTGGAAGGAAGAATGGGGGGAGAGAAGGGGGGGGGTTTGGAGCAGCAGGTGTCTTGCAGTGTTGTTGAGAGAGGGAGAGAGCACACGCAACACCAGGTTCAAGGTGAGTGTTGTCATTCACAGCCAGGAGCAGAGAGTATGCACCTTCGTGTTGTTAGCAATTCACGCTATTTGTAGCTGTAGATTAGGCAAGCTCCTGAATGTATTTAATAGCGAAAATATTAGGGGAAAATTGCCCAGATCGTCGATAGGTTCTCTCTACTCAATCTACCCTCTACTCGCTCTCTCTACTCGCTCTCTATACTCTCTCTCTATAGCCCAACCACTTGGACTAGGACGGTAGAGCGACGGTCTCGCGTCATGCAGGACGGCGTTCAATCCCCGACCGTCCAAGTGGTTGGGCACCATTCCTTCCCCCCCGTCCCATCCCAAATCCTTATCCTGACCCCTTCCCAGTGCTATATAGTCGTAATGGCTCGGTGCTTTCCCCTGATAATTCCCTCTATTATTTGAAATGCAATTCACTGGAAGCGAATTTTCAAGTTTCTAAAGATTTGTTTTTAATGTGTCACTTGACATGGCGAAGGGGTTTCTTATCTTGAGGTTATCTTGAGATGATTTCGGGGCTTTTAGTGTCCCCGCGGCCCGGTCCTCGACCAGGCCTCCACCCCCAGGAAGCACCCCGTGACAGCTGACTAACTCCCAGGTACCTATTTTACTGCTAGGTAACAGGGGCATAGGATGAAAGAAACTCTGCCCATTGTTTCTCGCCGGCGCCTGGGATCGAACCCAGAACCACAGGATCACAAGCCCAGCGTGCTGTCCGCTCGGCCGACCCTGGCATGAAGATCAACATGACCCCAACAGACCTGCTAATGACGCGTGATCAAGTGCCTTCAGAGTGCCAGGGTGGAACGTGGCACCCAGCCCGTCACGGGAAGGTGGCCAAGAACGTGGCTTGCAATGTTTATATGTCTCGCTGCTGGTGGTGGTGGTGGTGGTGGTGGTGGTGGTGGTGGTTGGTGGTTCAACCGTTCTCGCACTTTCGTATAGTCAATATTGACTTATTAAATACGTGCATATGTGACATACTAAACATACTAGTTTACCTTGAAAAGCTTCATAGAAAACACCGACCTTACCTAACCTTCTTAGTATGTTAAGATAAGCATCTTATTGCTTCATAATTACAATTATTACTTAACCTATTATAGGTATAGGTTAAGTAATAATTGTAATTACGAAGCAATAAGATGCTTATCTTAACATACTAAGAAGGTTAGGTAAGGTCGGTGTTTTCTATGAAGCTTTTCAAGGTAAACTAGTATGTTTAGTATGTCACATATGCACGTATTTAATAAGTCAATATTGACTGTAAGAAAGTGCGAGAACGGGTTGTGCGGTCTTTCTTGCATGCAACCTGAGGGGGAACGTTTCTTGCATGCAATCTTGGGGGAAAAACCTGAGGGGGAACGTTTCTTGCATGCAATCTTGGGGGAACGTTTCTTGTATGTAGTCTGAGGGGGACGTTTCTTGTATGTAATCTGAGGGGGACGTTTCTTGCATGTAATCTGAGGGGGACGTTTCTTGCATGTAATCTGAGGGGGACGTTTCTTGTATGTAATCTGAGGGGGACGTTTCTTGTATGTAATCTGAGGGGGACGTTTCTTGCATGTAATCTGAGGGGGACGTTTCTTGCATGTAATCTGAGGGGGACGTTTCTTGTATGTAATCTGAGGGGGACGTTTCTTGCATGTAATCTGAGGGGGACGTTTCTTGTATGTAATCTGAAGGGAACGTTTCTTGCATGCAATCTGAGGGGAACGTTTCTTGTATGCAATCTTGGGGGAACGTTTCTTGTATGTAATCTGAGGGGGACGTTTCTTGCATGCAATCTGAGGGGAACGTTTCTTGTATGCAATCTTGGGGGAACGTTTCTTGTATGTAATCTGAAGGAAACGTTTCTTGCATGCAATCTGAGGGGAACGTTTCTTGTATGTAATCTTGGGGGGAACGTTTCTTGCATGCAATCTTGGGGGAACGTTTCTTGTATGTAATCTGAGGGGGACGTTTCTTGTATGTAATCTGAGGGGGACGTTTCTTGTATGCAATCTGAGGGGAACGTTTCTTGCATGCAATCTTGGGGGAACGTTTCTTGCATGCAATCTTGGGGGAACGTTTCTTGTATGTAATCTTGGGGGAACGTTTCTTGCATGCAATCTTGGGGGAACGTTTCTTGTATGCAATCTGAGGGGGACGTTTCTTGTATGTAATCTGAGAGGAACGTTTCTTGCATGCAATCTTGGGGAAACGTTTCTTGTATGTAATCTGAGGGGGACGTTTCTTGCATGTAATCTGAGGGGTACGTTTCTTGCATGTAATCTGAGGGGAGGAACGTTTCTTGCATGTAATCTGAGGGGAGGAACGTTTCTTGCATGTAATCTGAGGGGAAAAACGTTTCTTGCATGTAATCTGAGGGGAACGTTTCTTGTATGCAATCTGAGGGGGGCGTTCCTTGCATGTAAGCTGAGAGAAACGTTCCTTGCATGTAAGCTGAGAGAAACGTTCCTTGCATGCAACCTGAGGGGGGAACGTTCCTTGCATGCAGTCTGAGGGGGAACGTTCCTTGCATGCAATTTCGGGGGGGAACGTTCCTTGCATGCAATCTTTGGGGAACGTTTCTTGCATGCAATCTGAGGGGGACGTTCCTTGCATATAATCTGAAGGGGGAACGTTTCTTGCATGTAATCTGAGAGGAACGTTCCTTGCATGCAGTCTGAGGGGGAACGTTCCTTGCATGCAATTTCGGGGGGGAACGTTCCTTGCATGCAATCTTGGGGGAACGTTTCTTGCATGCAATCTGAGGGGGACGTTCCTTGCATATAATCTGAAGGGGGAACGTTCCTTGCATGCAATCTGAGGTTTGAACGTTCCTTGCATGCAATCTTGGGGGAACGTTTCTTGCATGCAATCTGAGGGGAAACGTTCCTTGCATGTAACCCGGGAGAAACGTTCCTTGCATGTAACCTGAGAGGAACGTTCCTTGCATGCAATCATGGGGGAACGTTTCTTGCAAGCAACTTGAGAGGAACGTTCCTTGCATGCAACCTGAGAGGAACGTTCCTTGCATGCAACCTGAGAGGAACGTTTCTTGCATGCAACCATTAAGACATCCGTCCCCTTCTGGAGTGATTATGGGGTGGCTGACAGGGGTGGCTGTAAGAAGTGTGGCTCTCAGGGGTGGCTATGAAGGATGTGGCTCTGAGCCGAGAGGTCCCGTGCCTCACCCCCCAGGCACCTCGCAGAGTTTGCAAGCTCCTGGTGGCTCATTTGCATACACACAATGCTGCGGGTTTGGCCTCCTCCTCTGCCAGCACCTCCTCTTAAAAATACACGTGCTGGGCTCTAATGCTCTCCTTAATGCCTCTATATACAACCTACTCGCCTGATGTATTCGTGTCTCGTTTAACCCTTTTAGGGAACATATTGGCTATCGATTTATGGGGACGTAGACGGGGGTGGTAGATGTTTTAGGGAAGTCGTCCTACAATACCTATCTACTTCACCGATCTTCTGATCGAGTTCCCTGTTGTTAGTTGCATTCTCCTTTCGTTTCGAAGATCTTGTCAGTGTTAGTCGAATGTTTTCCTTCCGTTTCTTCAGCCGTTGCTTAGTTAAGCCTCTGTCGACTGTTGTGTTTCTAGGCTGATAACGGTGTTATACCAAGCTTGGGGCCAGATTCATGAAGCAGTTACGCTAGCACTTACGAACGTGTACATCTTTCCTCAAGCTTTGACGTCTTTGGTAACATTTATTAAACATTTTACAAGCATTGATGCTTCTGTTAGGAAGATATTATTGATGTTGAGGGTTAATAGGCTTTCCCCTGGCAGTGTTTCTGGTAGCTTGTGTACTCACCTAATTGTGCTTGCGGGGGTTGCACTCTGGCTCTTTGGTCCCGCCTCTCCACTGATGTATAGTCATCACTGCCTAATGCCTAATGCATTCCACCTATTAACTACTCTTGACACTGAAAAAGTTCTTTCTAACGTCTCTGTGGCTCATTTGGGTACTCAGTCTCCACCTGTGTCCCCTTGTTCGTGTTCCACCCCCGTGTTGAATAGTTTATCCTTGTCTACCCTGTCAATACCCTGTGTGTGTGTGTACTCACCTAGTTGTGCTTGCGGGAGTTGAGCTCTGGCTCTTTGGTCCCGCCTCTCAACCGTCAATCAACAGGTGTACAGGTTCCTGAGCCTATTGGGCTCTATCATATCTACACTTGAAACTGTGTATGGAGTCAGACTCCACCACATCACTTCCAAATGCATTCCATTTGTCAACCACTCTGACACTAAAAAAGTTCTTTCTAATATCTCTGTGGCTCATTTGGGCACTCAGTTTCCACCTGTGTCCCCTAGTGCGTGTGCCCCTTGTGTTAAACAGCCTGTCTTTATCAACCGTAGTCTCTCCCGTAGCTCATACCTCTCAGCTCGGGTACTAGTCTGGTGGCAAACCTTTGAACCTTTTCCATTTTAGTCTTATGCTTGACTAGATATGGACTCCATGCTGGTGCCGCATACTCCAGGATTGGTCTGACATATGTGGTATATAATGTTCTGAAAGATTCCTTACACAAGTTTCTAAAGGCCGTTCTTATGTTAGCCAACCTGGCATATGCTGCTGCTGTTATCCTCTTGATATGAGCTTCAGGGGACAGGTCTGGCGTGATATCAACCCCCAGGTCTTTCTCTCTCTCTGACTCTTGAAGTATTTCATCTCCCAAGTGATACTTTGTATCTGGTCTCCTGCTTCCTACCCCTATTTTCATTACATTACATTTGCTTGGATTAAACTCAAACAGCCATTTGTTCGACCATTCCTGCAGCTTGTCCAGGTCTTCTTGAAGCCTCAAGCTGTCCTCCTCTGTCTTAATCCTTCTCATAATTTTGGCGTCGTCAGCAAACATTGAGAGGAATGAGTCTATACCCTCTGGGAGATCATTTACGTATATCAGAAACAGGACAGGTCCAAGTACAGAGCCCTGTGGGACTCCACTGGTGACTTCACGCCAGTCTGAGGTCTCACCCCTCACTGTAACTCTCTGCTTCCTATTGTTTAGGTACTCCCTTATCCACTGGAGCGCCCTACCAGTTACTCCTGCCTGTTTCTCCAACTTATGCATCAACCTTTTATGGGGTACTGTGTCAAAGGCTTTCCGACAGTCCAAAAAAATGCAGTCCGCCCACCCTTCTCTTTCTTGTTTAATCTTTGTCACCTGATCGTAGAATTCTATCAAGCCTGTAAGGCAAGATTTACCCTCCCTGAACCCATGTTGATGGGTTGTCACGAAGTCTCTTCTCTCCAGATGTGTTACTAGGTTTTTTCTCGCAATCTTCTCCATCACCTTGCATGGTATACAAGTTAAGGACACTGGCCTGTAGTTCAGTGCCTCTTGTCTGTCACCCTTTTTGTATATTGGTACTACATTAGCAATCTTCCATATTTCTGGTAGGTCCCCCGTTTCCAGTGACCTACTATACACAATGGAGAGTGGTAGGCAAAGTGCTCCTGCACTCTCTTTCAATACCTATGGCGAGATTCCATCCGGCCCAACAGCTTTTCTCACATCCAGCTCCAATAGGTGCTTCTTGACCTCATCTCTTGTAATTTCGAACCTATTCAAGGTCACCTGGTTTGCTGCCACCTCTTCTAGCGCCGTGACATCTCCCTGTTCTATTGTAAAGACCTCCTGGAACCTTTTGTTGAGTTCTTCACACACCTCTTTGTCATTCTCTGTGTACCTGTCCTCGTCCACCCTAAGTTTCATCACCTGTTCCTTCACTGTTGCCTTCCTCCTGATGTGACTGTGTAGTTGCTTTGGTTCGGTCTTGGCTTTATTAGCTATATCATTTTCATACCTTTTCTCAGCTGCTCTTCTCACACTGACATACTCGTTCCTGGTTCTCTGGTATCTCTCTCTACTTTCTGGTGTTCTGTTATTACGGAAGTTCCTCCATGCCCTTTTGTTCAGCTCCTTTGCTTTCATACATTCCTTATTAAACCACGGATTCTTCCTTTGCTTCTCTGTTTTTTCCTGTCGGGCTGGGACAAATCGGCTTACAGCCTCCTGACATTTTTGGGTGACATAGTCCATCATGTCTTGTACGGACTTGGCTCCGAGTTCTGTGTCCCAATGTATATCCCATAGGAATTTATTCATTTCCTCATAGTTTCCCTTTCGGTACGCCAGCCCTTTGGTTCTCAGTTCTTTTTTGGGGGTGATAATTCCCAGCTCAACCAGGTCCTCAAAGCTCAATACACTATGATCACTCATTCCCAAGGGGGCTTCCAACTTAACTTCCCTTATATCCGACTCATTTAGGGTAAATATCAGATCAAGCAAGGCTGATTCATCCCCTCCTCTCATTCTTGTCGGTCCCTTGACGTGTTGACTTAGAAAGTTTCTTGTTGCCACATCCAGCAGCTTAGCTCTCCATGTGTCTGGGCCTCCATGTGGGTCTCTGTTCCCCCAATCTATCTTCCCATGGTTGAAGTCTCCCATGATTAGAAGTCTGGATCCGTTCCTGCTAGCCACAGAAGCTGCTCTCTCTATTATATTGATGGTGGCCAAGTTGTTTCTATCATATTCCTGTCTGGGTCTTCTGTCATTCGGTGGGGGGTTATATATGACTACTATTATAATTTTCTGTCCTCCAGTTGCTATGGTGCCTGGTATGTAGTCACTGAAACCTTCACAGATCTGAATTACCATCTCTTCGAAACTCCAACCTTCTCTTAGTAGCAAAGCTACACCACCTCCTCTCCCTTCTCTCTCTTTCCTCACTACATAGTAGCCCTGTGGAAACACTGCGTTTGTTATGATTTTCGTTAACTTTGTTTCTGTGAGTGCTATTATGTCTGGGTTTTCTTCTAGTGCCCATTCTCCCAGTTCACTTGTTTTATTTGAAATCCCATCTATGTTAGTGTACATCGCCTTGAAGCTCACTTTCTTCTGTTCATTTTCATGTCCCTTTCTTGGCGAGCATTCTGCTGGTGTGGGAAGCTGTTCCGTGGGTGAGAGGATCTGTGAGGTGGTTTGCAGGGTCTCAGAGGATTTTGGGGTGGGGGGTGGGGGTTGAAGGGAAGGGAAGGAGGGACAGGTAGGGTGTGGGTTAAGGAGGTAGGGGGGACATGGAGGATACGGGGTGAGGGGGAGGAGGGATAGGGAGGGTATGGGGTGAAGGGGGAGGGGGGAAAGGTGGGAGGGGGGACATGATGGGAATGGGGAAGGGGTGTCAGGGTCAGAATGGGGTGGGGGGGGGGAGGGAGGGGTTGGGTGGGGGCAGGTAGGGTGAGGGGAAGGGAGGGGTTTCTATGCAGAGGGGGGTGGTGGTGTTGCCCTCCCCTCTGGTGTTGCTGGGATGCTGGTTTTGGGTTCTCCTCTTGTCTCTGGGACTGTTGTGTTGAGGGCTGTGATTTCCTGGTTTGCTCCTCTCTCCCTGCGCTTCCTCCTTGCCTCTGCTGCCCTGGCTCTCTCCTCCTTCGTCCTGTCCCTCTGCAGGAATTCTTTTTTGTATCCCTCCATATGCTGCAGACGACTCTTCCTTTCGAGAATATCCTCCTTCGTGGTTTCGTTTGTAAACACCACCTTTACAAGTCGGTTTCTGTCCTTGTTGTACCAGCCCAACCTGAAAACCACCTCAATGTTATGTACAGCCCCTTCCATCTGTAACCCCTTCAGTAGCCCATGTACTGCCTCTCTATCCTTGCCATTCCATTCTTGCCTGTTGGATCCTTCCTGTTCTTTGATGCCTACAACTACCACTGATCTTTTTCTCTCCAGCAGTTGAGTGGTGCACCTTGCTGCTTCCTGTGACGTAGCTGCTTGCATCGCTACCTCCCTCACTGTGTCCATTGCTTCTGAGCTCTGTGTGTGTGTACGCGTGTGTGCGTGTGTGTAGATATTGTCTTCTTTTAAAGACTCTTGATAATCCGAAGTTTATTCTGTAATAATTTTTACAGAACTTCCATAATTTGTTTAAATGTAAGAAAAAATATATTTCAAACAAATGCAAATTAAAAATAAAAAATTAAAAAAAAAATCATTTAACCTCCCATAAAACGTAATTACTAGGAAATGAATGAATTAAGAGATAAACCCAAAA